GGGCCCAAAGGCCAGTTTCACAAACGTCGGTTGACTGCTAACCAAGAGTTAATTATTCTGGCCCGGTTTTTCATTTTCTGGTTAATATTTATTAACCAGACGTTAGTCGACTACCTGTCTCTTCTTATTGTTAGATAATAATATACAGGGTTGGGTAAGTTACTTTATAAAAGTGTCTGTCTAGTTACATTTACTCAAAAAGTAACGAAAAAATTACTTTGCAGTTACGTTCTTGCGATAAAAATAAAAGAATCAAACCTGCATTTGAATTGTAAAGCGTCCATAAAGGCGTTTATGCGCAAATGCAAGGCCTGATGCGATCTGTGGAGGTTTAAAATATAAAGTAACTATTAATTGCACTATTAAATTAATTACTAGTTATCGAAGAAATGTAACTGAGTTAAGTTACAGCTTCAGACGAAGAGAAAGTAACGAGTTACTTTCCAACCCCGATAATATAGAAAAAGATGGAGAGTCGACTCTCTGGTTAACAGTTAACCGGCGTTTGTGAAGCTGGCCCTAAGAGAGAAAAAGTGTTGCAACCAATCTGCCCATCACCGTACGCATTTATATTGAAACGCATAAAATAAAATTACATCTCTTACGAGACAAAGAGAAATTGCCGAAATGTTCTCCATCAAGAAAACCAACTACGCGATCAATTTACAAACAGATACCGTAAACTTAAATGTAATATACACGGAAAAAAGAATGACGCTGTATCAATAAGACCAGTGCAATTGAAATAAAATCGTTGAAACAGCATCAGTATTAATAAATGAAAGACATCATATTGTTTTCTCAATAATCGGGATATTTAGTTCAATCCTTAAAATTAAAATCCATAGCAAATACATTTGAGTAAATTATTTATGTTTGTGGCAGCCCGTGACATTAACGTTTAATTCAAGCAACTTCATTTTGTATTCAACAGCATTTTTTCCGTGTATGACTGCGTAATCAAAACTGTGTAGGTCGTAATACCACCTTGTTTTGTTCCTACGACGGTACCTACGAATTAGTTCGAGCCCAGTATCCACGGTGTTCACATGTACTTGTAGTTTCATAATTTGACTCTATCTTATGGACGACGTTGACTCATTTAGGTTCGTTAATTTACTTCCTTTTGTCTT